AATTAACCCCCAAACTTATTTCTTGAATTAATTTTTGTGTCTCTGTAGTATAACTTAACTAACCATCTTGAAAAAAGTCCAGCAAATTATAGTAACAAGAAACCTCAGCTCTGAAAATATTCTAGGACTAAATAAATTCTCAGGAAAGGAAATGGACCATTTTGTTTATTTTTCCTTTCATTTTATGTCTTCACAACATTCACTGAAGACATTCATCAAGACATTTCCGTGGACTGAATACAATTAAATTTCTGCCTCTTAAGAAGCCATCCACTAGCAAGAACCTAAAATATACAGGAGAATGCATCATTACAAATCCTGATGTTCTGTTTTCTAGGTTTGTAATGTGGGAAAATCCTCTCTACCTCTATGGAGCTTAATATTTTCTTCTTGAAATAGTAGTAATAGTCTTTCTGTCTAGCTTCTAGAGTTCTCAGAATCAAGTAAGAGGCTGCAACTATGAGGGCTTTTTAAGTTGCAAAGATTTATAGAAAAAGATTTAGGAACTTTTAGCACTAGTATGATATCCACCACTGCCCCTCTTCTGCCTCCTTCACCAGGCCCATAGAGATGATTACACTGGAGGCTTAGGGAAAGCTGTGGGGAAGAAAGATGCATATTTTCAATGCTATCCATGAGTTGATGAAAGTCAGTGCCAGGAGAGATGTAGTTTATGCATACCCTACAATTGATGCCTTGAGGAAGAGGAACTGGGAGAGATACTCATAAATATCTGTTACATCTGCAAGTAACACACTTGTCTTCAAAGAGAAGACATTGGTGTGACATTCTTCTTCTCCATCTCTTTTTCTTTTCTGTTTTCATTGTCTCTACATAGATTTTTTAAATGTATTCATATAGGGATCTATTATTAATCTCTTGTAAAGATGTCTTGTTTGTTTGCTTGCTTGTTTTTACAATTCAGAGAGGTAAGAAGTGCCCAGATTCTCAGTGAACAACATATTCCTTGGCTTCATGTAACAAGACTTGGTACATGAAGAGATTTCAGAAGGACTGAAACAGGCAAGGAAATGTCTCCCTAGGAGGTTCCCTGGTGATTCACTAGCCCCTCCCCGTGCTACCCCAAGCACTTCACCTCATTGCCTTGGGGCCAACACATGCATGAAGGACACCTTCCCCCAGTGATCTCTACAGGAGCCAGCATCACACAGAGATCAAGGTGCTCCTTTGGTTCAGACACAGGTCTGAGGTCAAATGACTCAGAGTTAAGACCTGAGAGCTACTTAATGTGGGTAGAAAGTCCAGTCCTGATCAGCTTGAGGTACACGTCTTGAGAGTTTCTGTGTTCTTGAGGGTCAAAATTCACACTTGCCTCCTCTCTTGTCTGCAGTCCAAGCTTGGAGGGCTATGGCTAGAGAACAGATATGGAGGTTCAAGCTGCCACATAGTAACTAGCTGAGGGGTTGGGCCAGTTCCTTGCCAGTCTCTAGGATTCTAATTCCTCTTTGTAAAATGAGGGGTTTGGACAAAATGTTCTGTAAGTCCCTCTAGCCCAGACATGTGTCATTCATTCCTCTGTCACCCAGTTGCCACGTTGTGCTTATGTAGGCACGGAGCAGCTCAGCAGGCGTTCCCAGGAAGCTGCCGTGTGAGCTTCTCCTCATGCTACACACATTGCCCTTCCCATGCTCTCTTATGTTTTTAAATTGTGTGCTCTTTTCAGACCCATGTCTGTCATTTCCTTGTTCCTGTTTTCCTCTTGATAGCTATTCATATCCTATTCCAGGAGGAATGCAGAATAAAGTTAGGCGTTGAAGGGGCCAGGGACTTAGCTCAGTGGTTCTGCTGCCTGCCTAGCAAGGGCAAGGACCCAAGTTTGATCCCTGGTACCAAAATATTTTAAAAATTTTAAAAATAAATAAAGTTAGGAGTTGAGTATTTGTAGCCTCCAGAATGTACCATTTCTAAAGAGTTTTTTTTAAACTTTAGCATATATAAAATGTTTTCTATCTATGCCAGAGAATAAGTATTTACACAAATTATGAGAAGAGTCCCAGATTTACCCTGGTGGCCCCTTCTTTCATTTACAATTTCTTACTGAACGGGTCTAGGTCAGAATATAGAGCAACATTTGTTCTCCCATTATAGGCCACCATAAATCCTCGAGCTCCTCATAATTAGATACTTATTTTCTGTAAATCCAGTGAGTAGCTCAGAAACTGTGGCTAATGGAAATGAAGTTCCCCAGGCCAGAGTGGACACTAAGACAGAAGACTTATCTGGTTAGTAATCTGGGAAACGGAGAGCTCAGGAAACATTATTTTCTTCTTTCCACCTACTAAGTGGGAAATGAAGAGAGTTGGAGGATCTTTCTGAACCTAGGAATGAAACTTACTGTTATGGATGGCAGAGGTACCCGCGGATACCTGGTTGTAGCCCAGGTCCCTAGAAGATGTAGAACAATGGAGCTGAATATCAATCTTAGACATCTACCCAGCTCTGGACAGTTATGTCAAAGTCCATGTTCCCATTAAGTACTTCATCAGCCTGTACAATACTTTTCCAAATGCTATTTACTTTACAGTTGTAACATGGATCGCTATCAAGTTCACTTGTTTACATAACTGACAACACCAACACCCTTTCCCTCTTGAAAACTGGAAAGTCATAGCCTCACTTTCAGTATTTCCTGTGAAGGCTGAATTTCAACATATTGCTGAGCATGGTCAGCAATCAGTGCTGCTGATCTGCAGGGTCATGGTGCCTGGCTGCAATGAATTTGAAATCACTCAAAGAAAAGTTTTTTTGGGAAAAATGACTTCTCGTGGATTCTGAGAAAAAATTCAGTTGTAACCAGTTTCCAAGCCAACAAAACTGCATTGCTGACAACTAAATTGAGTCACAGTAAATATAGTTCCATAAACACAATGAAATCATTTCTTAAAATGCGAATATAAGGAGCTACTGACCTTCTGCCTTCACTAGACCATATCATAACTAAAAATTTAAGCTCTCACCTCATGTTAATTGTTTTTCTAGAAATTGCTTTCCTAAAATATTACAGATTGGGAACCCATGGAAACAAACTCTAAGATAGAGACTTTAATTCAAGAACTTCATTAGGGAGTGCTCTCCGCTCTACACTGCACAGAACTGAAGGTAGCAGAGTAGAACAGACAGATAAATGGAAATGTGGCACAGTCAAGCAAACACCTCAGATGGGTCCTCTGGATTAAAGAAAGCCCTTCATAATTAAAGACAGCCACTTTCCTGAAATAGACATAGCCCCCCAAAGCAAAGGAAGAACTGGGAGGAAGCCACTCTGTAGCAAGGGCAGTTCCTGAAGAGGGCCTCACTGAGCACTCTCAGCCCACGTTTTTCCTGGCATTGGGGGATGCACATGTAAGTCCCAAGTGGCACAACTTCGGTGTGCATACTGCAATAATCCAACCAATATAACTTCAGCAGAGAATATGAGAAAATGGAAATGAAGTGTTTGTAAAGGCGGAGGGGAGGAGGAGTGAAAGGAGGGCAGGGACAAGGGGCAAAAATGAGAACCAAGACCTGTCATGTAAAGGTACAAGATCCCAATGATGAATGTAAATGTACTGTGTACCTAAAATGTACCTATAAACTCAATTAAAAAAAAAAAACTTCAGCAAAGAAATGGTGCTAAATTGATCAGACCTTTACTCAGCAGTGTTGAACCAGGTTAAACAGAATTATTATGCAAAATATTTTAATTGTATTTTAACCAACAGCACAGAAATGAATTGGCCATCATTTCTGAAAATCTAAACATTAATAAGGCAAAGGAATCTTTTATCCCCCAACAGACTTTTCAGCCAGACTTTCCAGGGCTTGGCTTTTTGTCAAGTGACCATGTTAACTTGAGCTAAAGGATTCGTTCATTTCCACTGACTCCTTCTATTTTCAGGGCCTGCAGATTTGATGGCCCCTCCACAAGTGATGTCTTGCCTTTATGGAGTCACATTACTTGATCAGATGGATTCTGGAAGCCACAGTAACTGTGTTTGAAAGTCAGAGTGTGAGTGTCTTCTCCACAGAAGGCTCTGCAGAGCTGGGTGGAAGGATGAGACAGGTCTCTTTCAGGCATGAAATGCTGTTTAGAACACAGGTTGAAAGAAGATGGGATCAAAGAAACTTCTGAAAGTTATCCACAGCAGGTTTATGAGCTTCCTGTAAAATTGTAAACTAAGGTTTGGGCTGCTGTTCATTAATAAATGACGTCCAATGTCGTAGTTAAAGTGCTTATGTTTATAACACTATTTCAGAGAATTTAGGTCCATCCTGGGAAACCTCCTCGTTAGTGCTGTTTTGAAAGTACCAAAAGGGTTGAACAGTACAGCCTAGTATCCTTTTCGATCTGAGTTTTCTGTTCTGGACATCTGAGGACTATGGACAACCCACCTGTGTGTTCTCTGTGGCTAGGGCTTTTTGCTGTACTCCCTACTGCCAAGTCAGTCAGGGAAGTGGCATCCACATGGAAAGTGTCCCCCTGTCCTTTTGAGGATTCCCCAGGTTATGATACCAAGGCAGGGAGTATCAAAGACAACATTAGAAAACCTATGACAGAAAGGTATGCACATGTGTGTTCCCTCATTTATACGTCACATTGGCCACGAAACTACTCCAGCATTCTCACCAACACTGTTGCCAAAGAGTCTCTCTGCAGTGGTTTTCAAATGAATTACCAGGACCCTGCTAGATTTTGTGTGTTAGTGAATTTGTGTAAGTAACTGAAAATATTCTCAGAATGTGTGTAAATGTGTAGGGGTGTACCTGGGTATCAGGGACATGGCATTTAAAATCTTCACATTATATTATTTCCTATGCCAAATCATTTTCTCACTCCTCTAGAGAAGCACACAGAAAAGCTTAACTACCTCACTTAGCACTCAGTTCAACTTAGTATACTGTTCTTGATCTCACATGTTGAAATAGTATAATAATTAATATATATGTGTATTTAATGTATATCTGTATATTTCAAGAAAAATCTTCATAAATTATCCAGACTAAGTGGAGATTGGCTTTTTTAAGAATCCTCTTCCCAGAGCATCCCTGACCTCCTTGTTCCTCAGGCTATACACCACAGGGTTCAGCAGAGGAGTGATGACAGTGTAGGTCACTGAGATGAGTCTGTCCTGCCCCAAGGAACTCTGGGACTTAGGCTTGAGGTAGATGATAGAGGCGCAGCCATAGTGGATGATGACCACCATGAGGTGGGAGGCACAGGTAGCAAAGGCCTTCTTCCTGCCCTCTGCTGTAGCAATCTTAAGGATGGTGGCAATAATGAGGACATAAGAGAAGAAGACCAGGGCCATTGGTAGAACAAGAACAAAGACACTCACAACAAAGTTGACAATCTCATTGACCGTGGTATTTGTGCAAGCCAACTTCAGCAGGGGTCTCACATCACAGAAGAAGTGGGAGATGACAAAGGCACCACAGAACGGTAGGCCAAACACAGATGTTACCTGGATAATGGCCATGCTCAAGCCAATACCCAGGGACCCAGAGGACAGCTGGATACAAGTCCTATTGCCCATGATAGCTGAATACCTCAGGGGGTTGCAGATGGCCACATAGCGGTCATATCCCATGGCTGTAAGCAGAAAGCAGTTGTTGATGCCAAAAGTCAGATAGAAGAAGAGCTGGGTGGCACAGTCTTGAAAGGAAATAGTTTGCCGAGGATTCAGGAGACTGGAAAGCATACGCGGAATGATCGCCACAGTGTAGCAGGTCTCAGAGATGGACAGCATGCTCAGGAAGAAATACATGGGAGTATGAAGGTGATAGTCCAGGCGAATAATGGTCACAATAATCACATTGCCAGACAGAGTTAGCAGGTACAACGTTAGGAAAACAACAAAGAAGACAAGCCTGTGTTGCCATCCAAAACTGGAGAAACCTTCAAAGAGGAACTCAGTCACAAAGGTGGAGTTTGTTCCTGGCACTGTCATTGCAGATGATCTAGGTTTGAAGGAGCTGGGCAAAGAAAGGAAAGGAGTCATGGGTCAGTCCAGAGAGCATCCAGCCTCTGAGCATTGCTCCAGACCCCAGAGGTTGTCAGCACTCAGTTAGTGGCCAATTCCTCAGCCCTCCTCTTTCTCACTTCTTAATTGATGCTGTAGAAAAGTTTTCCTGGGATCCAAGGATTGAGGCAGAAAGAGAAATGAGAGGGAAAATAGAGACTGATTTTCTCATGGAGATTTGTAGAAACAGCTAGCTGATTTAAGTTCTTATTTATATTCACAAGTGTGGAATTGCTGGGTCTATGGTAGTTTTATTTTTAAATATTTAAGGAGCTTCTCTACTATTTTCCATAGTGGTTTCACCATTTTACATTTCCACAAAGGATGTATAGGGGTTGTTTTCTCCAAATCCTTTTGGGCAGTTATTATCTGCTATTAATATATTTTTTAAAAATAATATCTCTTCTTACTGTTGAGAGTTAATATCTCATTGTGGTTTTCACTTGCACGTCCCTAATGATTACTTCTGTTGATCACTTTTCATGGATCTCAGTTAAAATTAAGCTCCCAGAGATATATTTGCATACTGGGCATTTGCTGCAACATTATGTACTATGAACAAGTTATCTAAACAACCCGAATGTTCACAGGCAAATGCTTGAATAAACAAAATAAAGTAAATATGTGGGGTGGAATATTATTTACTCTTCAAAAGGACATCTGCAATTTGCAACAAAGACCTAGAGGAGATGATGCTAAGTGAAATGTCAGTCACAGGAAGACCAACTGCATGATTTCATTATATAAGGTATTTAATATAGCCCAACTGATGAAAGTAGAGAGTGGTACAGGATTTGTGAAGAACCAAGATAAAGGAAACAATCAGCTGTTATCCAACTGCTATAAAGTTTCAACTATGCGACATGAAATAAAGTCTGTGATCTGCTGTACTACATGGTATATTTAGTCAGCCACACTGTATTATACATTTAAAATTTTGTTAATAGGGTTGATCTCCTAAGTATCTTATTACAAAACAAAATGAAATGAAATACCAAAGACCAAGGAAACTTTTGAAGGTTATAGATATGTATTTACTCAGGTAATGTTTTGATAGGGGTTCACTTATGTTCAAACTCACGAGATTTATACATTTAGTATTCAGGTTATTGGGCATCAATAATGCTCAATCAAAATGTTTAAAGAAAGAAACTGCTTGGCCATTGGAGAACTGAGTCTGGTTGGCAAAGAAACTGTAGAACATCAACTGTGCCCAGGTCTTTGCTTCCCCTCAGCACACCTTCATGTAGTCCCTGAAGAATTTAATGAACGGTGACCCAGCGAAAGACAAAGATGCCTGAGACTGATGCCCTTCCAACACTGTCAGCAGCATTTGATGCCAAGTGCTCTTCTGGGTCCTTGCCAAGGCTTCTCCTCTTCAGAACCCTGGTCTTGCCCCAGTCTTCATGTTCTTAAGCCCTGCGCCAATCCTGTCCTCTGACCTTGGAAGAATGGAGAGGGAAAGAGTCTAGCGGCTAATCTTTCCCATAGAACCTGCAACAAATATCCCATAAGATCATCAGACATGGCTTTATAAACCACTGTAGATATTGAGTTTGTCTCCTTGAATTCTAGCCGCAGAAATAAAGAGAAAGAACTGGAAGATGTCTCTTCAAAGAGAAAGTTGGTCTTTCCCCTCCTCCATGTCTGTGCTGTGTTAGGGATAGAAATGAGCTGTCCTTTCCTTGTTTTGTCTCACCTCAAGTGAATATAGCATGCAAGATTATACTGCAGCAGGTTTCTCCTTACCCCTCAGCCAGGTTGAACCATTATTATCTCCATTGAGAAAGTTGGGAGTAAACTGAAATAACTTCCCCATTCCTTCACCAGTGCAATGTGGTAGATGGTTACAAGTATAAATACTCTGCTAAATCTAGGAAAAGAAAGATGATCAAGGTTATCTTGGCACTCACGAACCTTTGACTCTTGAACAGTCTTTGAGATAAGACTCAATAAAAAGCCTGGTTTTACCTCTTCTCCACATTAGACTATTCATTTACATTGCAAAATTCTGAGAGACCATACTCTATCCTATGAGACATGTTCCCCTTCTTCTGCAAATTGGCCCTCATTTGAGATAATTGAGTACATGCTCTAACACACGCTCTCCAACGTAGCCGATACTCACCTGATAACCTGCCTCTGGGATCTTCTAAAAAGCTGTGTTCATGCCCAAGGCACATCCACCACTCTGCATATTTGACTGAAATAAATAGTAGATTATAAGTTTGTTTCAAAGATGTTTGTTGATGTTCTTTGCCAAAATTTTTAAACTCACCATTTGTATATCTCTAGATCACTGGGTGGAACTATGCTATTTCACTGAACAGACTGTGTTTCCTTATTAGGGAGTAGAGAAGTCTTGCAAGGTAGTGCTATTGTCTAACAGGAATTCCACCTTTAGTAACAAATCTCTATACACTGCCCAAAATACTATTCCTAAAAACAAGTATACAGAGAAGGAAATGGAGTCTGTCTCAGTCCCTCTATGTCAGAGACCTCAATAAAGACAAGAAAAGTCACATTAAATTTCCCCAGATTTTCCTCATCCCAGCCATTGCAAGAGGCTCTTCTTTGGGCCACAAAACAGAAACTCTGGATTGGAGGTTGTTAATAAGGTACCAAATCTCTGTCCCAAAAATTAGGTTTCTCCCTAAATTGCAGTCATTATTCTCAAGTGATCAAAAGCAGAAGGCATAATCCAAACAGCAGGGTGCCTAGAGACCTCATTACCTAGGCAACTCGCTACCCCTCCCAGCTGACAGCCCACAGTGAGCACAACACTGGGGAGAAGAGGTAAGTTACTGTAGGATCTCTGGGGTGAAAAGCCGAACTTTCTGTCTTAGGGTGGCCCTTGGCCTTGCTAGGATTTGTTATATTTTCTGTACATTCCTCCAGTGGCAAGGGAGGGGAGCTTAATACCTTATAGGATAATTCTTTTTTATGAGAGAGAAGGAATGATTTCCAAGAGGGTTTAAGCAGGGATCCCTGTTGCCAGGCACACATAGAAATGACCTTCTGGTACTCTAACATGTGAAGCCAGTTAGAATCATCAGTTCTATTTCTAAGTTCTATTTGATGAACTTTTATATTATTACACTAGTATTTATTCTCTCTCCTCTGCTCAGCACTTGCCCCTAGTTTGGTCTGACCCCTGATCCTAGTCCAGGGAGGTCATTCTCCAAATACTAAATCTATCACATTAACCCAGAGATATTTTCACATGTGTCTATAGCCTCAAAATATAAAAGTTGGTAACCAAGTGTCACATGTATTTACCCCTTCAATCATTTCTTTTCACTGATCTTATATTCCTAATTCAGTTTTGAGCACATTTAGGTACAGAGCCTTTTTTATATACCCTTTATTCTCTTGGTGTACCTAGTACTGTTTCTTCTAAAGAATAATTACTAATACTTATATATGTTCTTATATGCTGGGACAAAGCTGTGTAGTGTATATAATTCAGTCATTTTATCCTAGTGGTAAACCTAAAATAGCATAATTTATGTTATTTTCCTAAGGATACTGAGATAACTAATGGCAAAATCCAGGTTAAACTCAAGAC